GTCCCAATGAAAAAATGGACAGAGAAATACGGTCTAAGTGGCTGAATAGTTATGGGCCCTAGGGAGGAAACTGGACTCCAAGCTTTAGGATACATCAGAAAGTTTATTTGTCAAGCAGTGTGTCTTGCTGGCTCTGACAAAGGGACACCAGTAGGGATGCTCTCTCTAGTGTCAATAATAGGCTTTATAGGTCCAGTCTCAGAACGTAATCTTCCATCATTGCACACCTTTTACAGACTGTCAGATAAGTACCCAGGGTTATAAACAATGCTCTTTTTGGAATTGTTTTCAACTTCTGTTTAGGATACAGTCACCTGCAGAGGATGTTGTAGTGTTATGTCAAAAGCAAGGTCTCACAGTAGTGAGATTTGCCTGATGTAGAGATTATTCAGTTCTGACGTCCAAGACAGCGAAAAAATAAGCTTTCAGTGTTGTTATGGCTTGTAGGTTCATACATTGTTGTAGAAAGAATATAACTTGTATGGATACTACCATATCTGATATGTCAGTCTGTTTCATAAGACTGTTACAAGCTTTTTCTATGCATTTCCAGCAGTTCAGTGTACATTCATGGTTTTTAAATGCACAGCTGATGATTTATGAAATGTATGTCCTCATCAAAAGTACTCTTTGCTTCCCATGGAAGTCAAGGGTAGAACTTCTTGTGGGAGGAGAAGGCTAACACTGAGTGATTTGAAAATCCTATGACTGTATGCATGTGATGTCAATGAGAAAAGCAGTGAGCAGCCAAAAGTAAGATTCTCTACTAACTGTAAGAATTAATTCTTGCAGGTCTTGTGTTTTTCTTCACATCTCTTTTGGTGTCTTGCAACATAAAAAATCATTCTAATAGCTACTTTTACAATACAAATGTACATGCAAAGAAAAATTCCACTTTCAGGACCAGTCTTTTCTCCCTCTGCCTGCAAGGAAAATGAGAAGTCAATTAAATCATACAGAATCATTATTAAGGTTGGAAAAAGACCTCAAGGATCATCAAGTCCAACTGTCAACCCAACACCACCTAAACCACTAAACCATGTCCCTAAGCACCACATCTACACGTTTCTTGAACACCTCCAGGGATGGTGACTCCACCACTTCCCTGGGCCGCCTGTTCCAATGCCTGATCCCTAATATGCTAATACATTTTTTATTTGACTAAATGGAAAAATCAAATGCAGGCAGAATGTCAAAAGACACAGTCATTTAGCAGGCCATGAAAAGAGAACAAAGGAAATGAGCAGATAGAAAGGAAAGAACTCCAATGAACTATTTTTTTCTTTCCCTGTCTCTTCCGTGAAACTGTTTTTAGTTGCATCATTCTTTGGCTTTCTCAGCAGCTGTGCTGTTATATTTGGGCTTCTTTATTCTAAAATTCTGTGGAATCTATACCAGACTCTGGAACAACAGTCTTTAGCATTGGAATTACATTTGTCCCCATCTATCCAAGTGAGCGGTACTGACTATGTCGGTACTGAAGTAACTGAGAGTCCTCAGAAAGCTCTTTAGCGCTCTGCCTTATCTGTTAATACTGCTTAAATCTTGCTACTTAAATGGTCCTACCTAGACTTGGTATGTTGCCAGAATGACAGATGTTCCGGCAACTGCTGTTTATTTTACTTAGGAATGCTTTTTCGTAGATTTTTAGGGCATCACTTATATGAGACACTGTGTGCTTTAGGAACGGTATTTTTATGTGTTGCTATTATCATTGTCATTATAAGTTTCAGTATCTGCACCTTAAAAATTATTATTAATAACCAGTCCAGCAAGTAATAAATCCAGTCCTTCATATTTAATTTACATTACAAGATGAACCTTACCAGTATCTCTACACTGGCATCCTACCTGCTTTTTCCCATATTTCCCAGTTGCAATGCATGGGTAGGTGATGAGGAATATTAGTAGCACCCTGTAATAAATGTCATATATCTCATGCCTTCCTGTATTTATGACTTGATTACTGAGGGAACTGGTGTTTGTAAGGAAAGGAATAAAAAAAAATGGAAAAGAGAAGACTTGAATTGTGCTGGTTACACTTTGCACTTTCTTTCTTGTCAAAATAAACTGTTTCTTTTGTATTTTGAAGTCAAAGATTAAATTCCTAGAATAATTATATGCTTCACATTCTGAGTCTCTTGATATGTAACATACCAGTAAACTACCTGTAAATAGTCAAGAACCTATTAAGAAGTTAATTAATTATATGGGAACTGCTGAAGAGGAACACAAGGCATGTCAAATGAGAAGGTGAGGGCAGTCCTCTTTTATCAGCCTCTGGTCTCTGCCAGTAGTCTGGTACATTTGTCAAAACTGGAACAGACCATAAAAAAGAAATCTTAAACCTTTAAAACATTTAAAGCAAAAGCAAAAAAAAAAAAAAAAAAAAACCAAACCAGAAACCTACCCTCCAAAAAACCCCAACACTTGAAACTCAGCAAAAACAACAGTTAACAAGTACTTTGGGTCAGAAGCAGAATAAGATCCAGTAAGTAGTTTAGGTAACACTTCCAAGTGTAATCAAAGTAAAAATATTAAATAACCAATTTTTTTTTCTACTGCTTAGATCAATGACTGTTGTGAGACACAGAAAAAAATACGTGCATTCACCATAGAGAGTTGGAGAAATGGTGTTTTACTTTGCCATAGGGCTCTTGCAATGTGTTAAAAGTTATGCTAGCGTAGAGGGATCTAGTAAGGTAGTCAAAGATTTTTTGTAACGTCAGTTTATCACAGGATTCTGCAGTAGTTTTTTTAATAGATACTACAAGTGTTTAAGTACATATTCATGTGTCATATGGATGTAAGCAAATATGTATATCCATATAGTTTGCCATAATGTCTAAGTTCACAACTTCGGCTACAGGTTTGCTTTTCCTCTGTTATGGCAGGTCATGGTTTGCTCCTTCATGATGGTTTCTTCAGGCAGTTATATAGTGGTTGCCAGATTTAGGCAATTGAAAAATGAATAAGAACTCGTGCATGGTGGTTATAAGAATAATAATAACCTATCAGCTAAGTTTTTTCAGATTTTTACCTGTATTGTGCATTTTGACAAGTAAACAGATACAATACAGTGGTGCTATTTCTCTTCTAAGGTTAAGGTTTCTTCTTCCTTACAGCTGGGTTTTCACTCCTGTAAGAGTAGGGCTGAGAATGCTGTGGGATGGATTCTGACAGCAGCTTATATGCAATGTCAGTAATATCTCCCTAGGAAAGGAGAGCATAGTGTCACTGATGCAACAGTGCTCACAAGAATACAGTATTTTACAATATTTAATCCTGCTTGTGGGCAGTCTACCCTACTCCACGCCAAAGCCTGAGAAAGCTCCAGTTCTGCATTTACGTGACAGGTTTTAATTTCTCATGTCAGTTCATGACTGTCCGTATACACAAAGTTCTGAGTAGGTCTCTGTGTGTCCAGATATGGCTGTCAGTACCGATTATGGCACCCTTCTTTGTCTTTCCTGTTTCATATCATCCAGGGATTAGGAAGCTATCAGCTCTTTATTTATGGGAATTATTTTTGCCTCACATTAAGGAAGTCATATATTGTTATGTTGGTAAGCACCATGCAAATGAATAGATAATAAACACTGTGCTGAGACTGTTTGGATAGATACTGCCAAAATGGCTCCAGCCAAGCACTGTTAGTCATTAATTTTTCCTTTTCTTCCTTTTTGTAGGCTGATTTAATGTAAAAGTTTTCAATTTTTTAATTTTTATTATTTAGCAATATTTTATTGTTTTATTGTTTTATTTTCCTCATATATTCAACATACATTAACATGTTTACATATGTGCGTTGTAGGAAACACCCTTTTAATAAATCAGAAATATCAAATATAGTCACATAATCTCTGAGACTACTCTCTTGATATTGAAATAGAAATACAAAACTCAATTTGCTTGCTCTAGAAATGTTCAATTCAATGCAATAAATAAGCTTTCTCTTTAATTAGCAGAATTAGTACTTTCAAGAAGAAATCAATTTAGACTGACACAATTTCAAAAGGGATAACATTTTTGGAGTAGGATTAGTAAAGCAGATGGCATCTGTGGAGCGGCAAAAGACCTAAAGCTCAGGCTTTCTTCAAACAAGCACCTAATTGTTCAAATACATTTCTGAAGTTTAAAAAAGTAATTGCGTTAACAGTTAAAAATCTTGTGAGACCATGTGCTTTTACTAGTATTAGCGCTTCCTAGGTAACGTTTTTTAAGCAGTCAGAAGGGCAGGCGTGCATGAAACATGTCTTTTCATTTCAGAGCCTCCAGAGCAATTCTATTCTCCAGATTCAGAGGGAGCATCCAGTGCCGAACGGAGATATAATACTGCCTTTTTAAAAAAATACCATAACTGGCTCTCATGTCCTGAGCAGGGATGTCACGTTTAGGAAAACCATGATTCCCTCAGGACTGACTTCTCATTTACTACTTCAAAAAATTATATGTCTCAAGGGAACTTCTTAAGGCATCTTCAAGCCTCTTTTTCCTTCTAGTCTCATTTGTTTTGGTATTATGAATCCTACAACTCCCTAATGTATCATGTGAGGTTGCTGAAGTACATGCTCTTGCTGCAACTGAGATGTGAAGGAAGGGATACTTGTTTAGGGATTACTCCTGCCCCTTGCTCAGATGTTCCAGCCATTTCAATGCAGGCTTTACATCCAGATTTTCTTGTTTATCTGGCAGTTCATTATTTAAGGCCAGCCTGTCAAAATACGTTAAATATTCTTTGGGAAACATGGTCACATCTTTGAGACACCACAAATATGTTTAATACAAAAAAGATTGGCTTGATAAAAGAAACATGACAAACTTGCATCCCCCACAATGCTTTTCTGCTGTTCCATGTAGATTTCTAAGAGCATCAGTACAAAATGACAAATTTCATGGCAATAAATTCCTGGAAAAGGCACAGAAAGACACCAGCAAAGCAGTGAAAATGATTGCTGATGATTTATTCTAACTACTTGACCTTGTGATGTCTCCCCCAGATATATGACCAAGATGGGACACTGCAGCACTTTATTGATGGTGGAGAACCCAGTAAGTCAAGCTGGATGAGGTATATCCGATGTGCAAGACACTGCGGTGAACAGAACTTAACGGTGGTTCAGTACAGGTAAAGTAAGTTTTGATTTACTCAGTGCAACAAAATGAAAATGTTTTTAGTGAAAGTCAGACTGTAACTGTCACCAGTACTATTGCCTTTGATTGTGAAAACAGTAGCAGGGCTTTTAGTTAATGTGCACAGTCAGGACAATGCTGCAGGATGTGGTGAGGATGAGTTTAACTGGGTTGCCCTGAGCTGAGGCCGTTGCAGTAAGCACACTAGACCTGGGGGTCCTGGGAACAAATACAGCCCTGTGTCACTCATGTAACCACCACACTGCGCAGAACCCTCTGCATGTTTCCAAATGGCCTGATCAGAAGGAAGCCAATACAAGAAATCTTCCACCCTTAGTAAAGATGCGTGTGCTAGAGGAAAGGGAAGAACGGCAAGAGTTTTGAACCCAAAGGCATCCTGAGAGTCAGTCATGAGACACGCATACACCTAAAGCTTTTACGTTGAGCACACCTGCTAGCCAAGATTGGTAGTGCTTGTGCCTCTCATGTCTCTGTCAAGAGAAGGTAAAAATGTGAAGAAAAATGTAAAGAAATTATGGTGTATTTTACTTTGTACTCACCAACAGACCCATAAAACACAGACAACACATTACATAAATGCATGATCTCAGCTATAAACAAACCTTTTTGCTTCAGAATCAGAAGCAACTGCTTGGCCTATTAAATGTGGTAGGAAGCACATCAAAGAATGCCCCAGGCTTGCCAGTTGCAGTGAGCAATCCCGATTTGCACTAGTTGCTTCAGAGAGTGGAGTTCCTTTTCTTTAGGAAGAATCTTAAACTTTATTTCAAGCACTTTTAAAATTAAAAATAAAACATACAAAAGCAAGCTAAGATTAAATATATATAAAGTTTGATTATCCCATAGGGTTCCAATTTAACAATGGTAAAATTGTTCAAATGCATTTTCAGCTTTTTTATTCTCTGGCCAGTTGACTAACTAATGGCACTGTTAAAAAAATAACAATCCTCTTTATATATTACAAATCTTTTATTGTACCCTTAAATATTTGATATCTATAGCTAAAATCCCGTCAGATTTTAAATAAACACACTGGATAATGAGTAAAGATTGTTGTGGTGAAAGAGTATTTTTGTAGGTATCTTGTGAACTTTTTCTCAGTGTGTTGAAGCATGCACGTGTATATATACATGTATATATAAAAAGAAGAGAAAATATATATGCGTACATGTATATAGATGACAAACCTAAATGAAAAGTGAGCATGAGAAAGTCATTACACATCTGTCAATATTAAGTGGATTTTATAACTCTCCTTTCATGATGGAGTTTTTACTTAGAGTTCCCTCTGTTGATCTGTTTTCGATTACTTCAGATCTTTATAAAATGAACTACAAAAACACAATTTAAAAAACTGGCATCCATCACCAGTGACTGCATCCAAGTGTAAGAAAATAGAAAAGTTGGACACTGAAAAACCAGCCTAATTTTTATTGTACATGGACGTCCTCCTCACAGAAAGTCAGCTGGTTTAAATTCATTCTGTTATGATTTGTAATATCTAAATGGAATTTTCTTCAAAGTGCTCTTGATTGATTGACCCTTAGCTGAACGTTTTGTTTTTATTTTGAGGCTGACAATAATGTTTGTTGGCATGTGTTCTGCTTCAACTGCGTTGGGACGCCATGAAGCTATCTTTATGAGTCATCCAACCACAATACTAAATACATGTCAGCAAAGGAAATATTATCCGAAAAGGGAAAAATCCCTTTGATGTACTTCAGCATGCAGAGATTTCTGCGAGTTTTGGAAGCTCTGCACGCTTGTAAGGGATGGTGTACGCTTACACTTTTTTTTCCCTGCCTACTCCAAGCCTCACAGACCACCCATTGCTCAAAAACAGTTCTGCTCTTTCAGCGGCAAAGTGTGTCATTTGGTTTTAGCACATTCATTTGCTGGGCTGCTGTGTTTATGTTAAGGGAAGCCAAACTGAGAGATGAAATGTTACAAGGGTGAAGTACAAAGTAGACTCAATTTTTCTCAAGTTAGGAGATGCTGGTAATTTATAGCGTGGCTCCGATTTTCATTTTTATGTAACAGTGGAAAGAATTAACGAAATGTGCAGCTCTGAAAGAAGGGGAGGGAGAAGAAGAGAAGAGGAGGAGGAGGGAAGGAGAGGGGGGAAACACAAAGGGGAGAGTTTTTGTCAGATATTCATAAAAGGGTAGGAAAACCATTCTGCTTAGCTAGCAGTGCCCTCCTGAGACAGGGTGTCAGTAAGTGAGGAAAATAACAAGATAAATGAAATTTTTGCAGCTGCTAGTGAAATATTGAGAATCTGCACTTTTTTATTGATCTTTATGATCCTGTTGCCAAGAGCCACTTTGCAGTGACAAAATATGTTGACAAGTGCATATCTCACTGCCATGAAAAATGTGGTAAAAGATTCTCCTTATGTCTGCAGTGTTATACAAGGAACAAATTGCATCGCTACAGCCAATTCTTTATAGAAAGTCTAAATTTAAGGCCTACCAACCCTAAACACTTTTATCTTGAACTTCAGGCTAACGTTTGTAGCAATTCTTCACTCAGAAAACCGGTTGAGGCCCAACATTTTTTTTTTGGTCTATAGATATTTTTCTGCCTTACATAAGCTGTTATAAAAAATGGTCATTTCTTGGTACTTTGACTGTATCATTTTGGTATGTAATCCTTCAGTGAGAGTGGAGTGTTCTTCTTGTATATATTGAATTTCTATCCATCTCACAGGAGTGTGTTTTACTGTTCCATATGAAGCCTAAGGGAAAAGCCACTACAAACTGATAACATTTTTATTTTATCTTGTGCCTGATTCTAATCTTACAGTGTTTGCCCCCATGTAAATTTGTAAACTGGAAGTATCACTCTGAAGCTATTTGCATCAGTGCAAAAGATCAGAATAATGCTTCTGTTTTTTTTCTAGAGACTCTAGGATTTCTAGGATTTTTCTTCTCCCCCCCCAACTCCAAGTTTGGTGGTCTAAGGATATCCACAATCTTTTCCCACAGCGCAATGTGATAAGATACCACATTTGCAGTGACACTAATTTATACTTACTGAAGGATCATCGACATTACTCGCATGTTCCATACAGAGGAAGATTTTTGGTTGTATGTTCAGATTAACCCCATTTTTTTTTTAATTTCCCGGAGCCAAAGTCTATTTTACTCAACAATCCAATATCTCTTTTTGGTGGTGTATTGCTGTAATGAAAGGCCACATCACACTACTTCAAACAGCTCATTAAAAGAACTTATTCAGATGAAAGAAATGTTGTCTATTTACCTCTAACACAGGTTAACTTTAGCTTAGATGACAAATGCGAAGCTGTTTAAATGGCTGGACTTACTGAACTGTGTGCATCACTCTGATGCTTGTACTGTGTGAGCGAAGTCTAGCATTTCTAAAATCACTCTGAAATGGACATTGCAAGAAAATATCTGTCTTTTCATAAAATCTTGGTGCTTGTAAATTTTAGTGTTTAAAATATGCACGGTACAAAGTGCCTATAAACTCTTTGCTACCCTGTGCTACAGGAGCAAAGTCCTTATCTAATGATAGATTTGGTTTTAAAATAATCAGTAAGTTATTCATTTAGTTATCTCCAGAAATGCTTCCAAAACAATGGATTTCTACTGTAATACTCTGTATCATAAGAGGAGAATGCTCTATTCCTAAATTAGGCATTTTTTTCTTTTTCTCTTGATCAGGTCAAATATATTCTACCGGGCTTGTATAGACATACCCAGGGGCACCGAGCTGTTGGTGTGGTACAATGACAGCTACACATCTTTCTTTGGAATCCCTCTCCAGTGCATTGCACAAGATGAAAATTGTAAGTTCTTGCTTGCATTTCTACCTGTGTAAGCCAGAATTCCCGTTTCATACGTAATCAGCTATATTCCTAGAGTGTTCTAAGACATATTAAATTAAAATGGTAAGGTATTTAAGGTACGCTTGGTGTGTACAAAATAAAACCCCAAAGCTGATACACTTAAGCTGTGAAAAATCATGGCATGATAATGGAGGTGTTTGGAAGTGTGCAGGTATATGCAATTAAATAACAGATTTCCCACTATGGCAGACCCACATAACTTGGTAGCGTGTAGAATCGCTCTTCCTTATAAGAGATTCATTCCTACTCTATTCTTAACTGATTTGCTTGGCCCTGTCCATTGTTATCAGGCCTATCACAAGACACTGTCTTGCCAAAACAGTAATGCATTGCAGGTCCATGGGGCCTCTGTTAGTGATTCTTCATTCTATTACCACTGAGCATGTTAAGAAAAGCTCTGTCTGACTGACTGTAGAGATGAGGTCCTTGTTGTTAAAAGGTAAAAGCCAGCTTCTCTAAATGAAGACTGAGCTTATGTAGCCTGAAATGACAATGAACCTCCATTCCATCCTGGCCATCCCCATTTTCATCCATTCTCCTACCCTTTATCAATATTTTTTTTGTTTGCTAGGAATCATCACAAAATTAAGCATGTAACACTAATCCAGTGCTGGATCTGTGCAGTCTAGTGCTGGATACCTTTCTCTGTAATGGGAATGGGTGATCCAAGCATGCCCTTCAGTTTCACTGTTTGTGTGTGGAACTTGATTAGAGCTTGCATCAAAGACCTCTCTTACATTTTGACAGCTATGTGTATCTAAGTGGTGGAAGAAACCACTAGTGGATGCCTGATTGACTTTGGTTTAATGTAACCCTGTGGCTGACAACCCTTAATCAATTACATCTAAGATGTATTTTTTTGGTCAAGTACTTGGATACTTAAACAGAACTGCTAGGATGAACTCGTGTCTTACATACTGAACCATGCAGCAATAAAACAGCAAGATAGCAGGGATTAAACTGTCAAAAATAAACATCCTTTTTCATCTTGAGTTTTCAAATCTGTTGGGCTTAAGAAAAGTTTAAAAGAAATTTAATTACTGGCAGTAATGTTTGCTGATAAAACTCATGCTCTGCAATGTACAATACAGAAATATTATTTTTTCTTTCATGAGCTGAAGCTTACGAAACCTTTATTTGAAGAGCAAAGCATTATGTTAAAATCTCTAAATATTGTCATTTGCTATTTTGCTGTGAGAGAAACCAGAGTTTCATCCACAGAGAGATTGACATGAGCAGATGAAATTAATCTCTGAGCATGGAGCCTGCTGCAGGCTGGTATATGACTCAAGTGCCACTTAAGCCCTCAGAGTAGACCTTCTCCTTATCTTCTGTACAGGGGTATTCTCACCCAAACTCTGTCTATATTCCTTTGGTCTTTAATATCCTGATCTTGTTGTTTCTGTGGACTTTTATGAATACAATTAAAAAAAAAAAAAGTGATCCACTTGTGTGAGAAAGTTGGGTCAAAATGAAAGTGTACCAATTGTCCCTTGTACTGAAGACACATAGAAGAAGTACTGCATGTCTTGAAACTTGTTATAGATAGCCCCATGGATGTAACTCTACTTAGAAATCAGATCCTTAGATAATCCAGAAAACAATAACCTAGGAAGGACCTCAACTTGAGTAATCAAATACCATGTAATATTATAATATTGGAGTCATTATTGTTGATGGAAGATACTAGAGCATAACTCTGTGAAGCAACTGGCAGTATTCAAGGTACTACTAAAACATTAGTTTGCATTACTTTTTTGTTGTATATTAAGTAATACTGGATGATTCCAGCTCACAACTGAAATTTAATTCTCATATTTGTTCTTAGGAATCTATCATCATGATTTACCTAAACTGAGTAGCAGTTTCTAATCACCTGTTTAGCAGGTGCTAGGTACCTACGTGTGGATATATACATATAAACACTTTGTGGCAGTAACTAAATGTGTGAACATATGTAGACGCAGACATATGCATGCAACATATTTAATTTAAAAATCTACATTAGAATATTATATCATGAAGTTGAACATGCCAAAATCAGAAAGCAGGAGCAGGCCCTGGGTCCAGGTGGCCTAAATTATGCTTTTTTGCATTGTGGTACTGTCTTTCATTAGCTGACACCATTTTTCTGTGGGACCCTTGCTTCATTACTGAATGATCTAGATGGTACTCAAGGAGTGAGGCAGCTGTTCAACTTCCTTCTGCGTGTTTGACCTCCTGCATCCCTTATCGTGCAGCATCCAAATTCAACATTAAATCACTTCTTTGTGAGAACAGCGTATTTCATTTGTTGTTGAGTGCCTCATAAGCATAGTTAATTGATGATCATAAGACCCTTGCAGGACTAGAAACAATTTTTGTTCCTATTTTGTAGGTGGGAAATTGATGCACAAATATATCTCTGCCTGTACTTTGCATTGTCTCATGGTGATCTAACTGCTATTAGCCTTAATTATGCGAGTCATGGTGAAGTCACTGGCTTTTTACTGTATTTGTGAGATGTAATAGTATAATATTCTTAGTGGCTGAGCTTTAAGAGGATAAGGGAACTATTGCTGCAGTAGATATGTCAGTCCTGTTGTGTCTCAAGGAGTGTCTGAGCAAGGATTTTTTCCCCATGATCTCAAAATTCATGCTTGTCTGCGATATAACAATTGGACATGCTGACTGCAACATGCAGAGTCAGGTTATCACAAGTGCAGCAGCATTTTCTTTCAGATGACAATCCCATTGTGCAAAAAATGCATATCCCAGTCAAGCTTCTCAGAGTTCTTTCAGTCTCAGACACACCTTTGCGTGAGCTTTCATTTCAGTGTCACAGGATCAGCATCATCCACTCAGATCACTGTCTCATTCAAGCCCATTTTTTTGTGCATTGTTAAAATAGTGATGTTTAATTCTAGTGTCAAGAAAATGGATGTTAGTATTTTTTTCGTGTGTCCCAACACTGTATTAGTTTTAAAAAGGCATAAAAAGGATCTTATTTACTTTTCTTGTTTTCTCCCAGTGAATGTCCCTTCGACTGTAATGGAGGCCATGTCCAGACAAGACACCCTACAGCCATTTAATAAAAGTAGCAAACTATCCCCTGCCACTCCACAGCGATCCATAGTATTTCCACAGACTCCGTGTAGCAGAAATTTTTCTCTCCTGGATAAGTCTGGGTCCATCGAGTCAGGATTTAACCAGATCAGTGTCAAAAACCAACGAGTTCTTGCAAGCCCAACTTCAACAAGCCAACTAAATTCTGAGTTCAGTGACTGGCACCTTTGGAAATGTGGGCAATGCTTTAAGACTTTCACCCAGCGGATCCTCTTACAGATGCATGTGTGTACGCAGAACCCTGACAGGTAAAGCCCAGGCTCTCTTTATTTCTGTATCTACTGATAGCCAGATCCACTGCTTTCTTCCTTTATCAAACTGTTATCGTTTCCAAAACCAAAACATTATTAGGAGGATCCTGTACGACATAATTCATCTGCAGCTGTGTGAAGTAAGCCGATAAAAACCGTTGCTTGACTTCGCTATTTGTAAAAACATTTGGTGCCTAAGTGTGCAGATTAAAGGAAATAGCTAAGGATATAATCATGTTTTCAGAATGGTTTGGTACATCTGATGGAGGCAACAAAATAGAAGGAAAATTTATGAATATCATAGATGAAAAAATGATGTCAAGACAATTAAAAGTCTCTCTGTCTTCCAAAGATAATCTAACTTGCTGCTCAGTGGCTGTCACAGTCATTTCAAGGTTCACCTATAGTGTGCAACGTGTATGAACTTAATTAAGTACTAAGAGGTAATGAATTGGAATTTCTTGCTTAGTACTATTTTTCTTCAGAGCATGCAAACCCATAAATCGTGCAAAGCTGTCAAAAGGAAATACCTACTCCACTAGTGATGTGGAGGAAAACAGATGCCACTTATTCAATAAACTAATATCCACACAGAAGAAAAATGTTGACTAGATACCTCAGAGTCAAAGTTGGTTTGAAAGTTTGTCAATACAGAATTTTATGGTCGTGAACTGAGGATGAAATTTAGCTGAACAAGTGAATTAAAATTTCAGGTACTCTGACCGGTGGCACAGTAAATATAATGGAACCATTATTTATGAATCAAAGCTGGTTTATCTGGCAATTTTGATAGCTGGCAGGACAAAAGACAAAAATCAAATTAATTCAATAAAAAAGGCGGCCTATGTTTGTCTCTTCTTCAGCTGTGAAGAAAGTTTGAACAGAACAGCTGAATCCCTGCAAGGTTGTTCTAAAAGCAGCATTTCGTTGTGAATTACATTTAACCACAACACTACCAAAAACAGTCAACAGTGAGTCTGTGCCTGTGTTTATATGCATGTCTATGTCTCTTTGTGTACGTGATTATCTACGTGTACACATATGCTTGTGGGATTCTGTGGGTGTGGAGATCCTGGAGCACAAATCCAGTTTTCCAGAAAGAAACATCAAACATGCTAGGGGCAAACTAGATTCCGTGCAAATCTTCATATAATTTAAAGATAAATAATAATAATATAATATTGTGAATGCATACAAGCCCTTTCAACATTTTTTTGATTTTATGCTGGCTTTAGCAGAAACAAATGCCATGCTAAGGAAGCTGTAGGACACAGCTGCCAATCTAAGTGCCACAATGTAGAATCTAAGTCCTCAAAGGTCTGCTCTCCTAAGTTTCACGGACTCCTATGTTTTTGGTATTAAAGCATCCTAAGCATACTGCAAATCATAATGTGTTGTGTAAGGGAGTCTAGAAGAGGTATATTGTGAGGTTCCCACACATACTTTTTCAGTGATTCATCCAACCAGGTGGGACACCCAGATTTCATCCTTTCCTTCACTTGAACCTATGTCTTCCTTTGTGAAGAATGGAGCTGCAGATAATAGTTAATGCAAGAAGAGCCTCCCCTAATGGGGCTATTCTGCACTCTAAGAAGTAGTTAAATATTCATTTTGCCAGAAAGAGAAAATGAGGCTAAGTATCCTACAATTAGGTCTGTCATCTTGGAGGTGAGAGATTTAATTTTTTATTTTTATTTATGTTCTAAGTATCTTCTGTCAAATATTACCTGAAACACAGGCTGGATTTTAAGCCTTACCCCTCAGAAGTGAACAGCCTGATTAGTACATTACCGATTCATCGTGTCTTACTGTTTTGTCTCTTTTGTGCCTACCTAATATGTCCATGCAGAACAGCTTCAACGAGAAAGTGTGGAGCATTTTTAGCTCAGAATACCCTACAGTATAGTAGGAAAATTGTCTAGATCAGAAGACAAGTTTGCTCTCTGAGGAGCAAAGAGAGCAAAGGATGATTTGGGGAGAACTGGGGTGGAGAGGAGGTAAGTAAAGACTCTGAGTTGTCCCAGAAGCTTTCAGAATGATTTGAAACGTAATAGCTAACACCTTTTTCTCAATATTGATGCTGGCTAATTTAGCTGATTTCTTCTTTGGCTTCTCGGGTTTTGTGAATCCTGTTCTTAAGAAACCTTTTCACTTGTGTTATGTAGAAAGCATAAACCTAAATGATGCTGTAATATACATTTAGGATCAATCTGTTGCATAAATACTGATACTGCAGTGCTCTGTTCTGTGACACCTGTGTTCCCTCTTTACTGAAAAATGGCTTACATCTCTATGTTTTCATTAAATAAATTGTGCAGACTGCTTGTGGAAGCCAGTTTTGTAATGCCGCCTTTGTTCCTGCGAGGTGTGCCATGGACATAACTGCTGCAGAAGCATTTCCCAGTAGGTCTTCTTTAGAGCATTATGTGGGACATCAGTCACATGAATCTGCTTAAGGACACTATAATTCATTCGGTGTTTGAAATTACCAAATAACTGTTACTGCAGATGATAACTGCCCTAGGATCTGGACTAATATTTCTGGTTAGAAATGGTTACAGATTGAACTTACATCACAGGAACCTTTTTGTCATTTAGCAGATACCAGTAGATCAGCTGTTTAGTGATTCAGTGGCTGGAAAAGAGTTGTCTTTGATTTCTCAAAAATACTGTGTTACTCCATATGGACAATTCCTAAAGTGTTGTACAAAATTTCCTGGAGACAAGAAAACAGGGCATGATTTGTGAAAGAATACCTGCTTGCCAGCGTGAAGTACTGGGTGCAACTCTCTGGTTTGTATTTTCTCGATGATATCTGCAGCGCTGGTCTGGCTGATAAGCAGCTCCCCATTTATTGTCAGCAATTTGTGAGCACACCAGCCACTGTATCTTTGATGTGACTGAAGCAGTAGGGCCTGTCTTCTCTAGGAAATGACTTCAGACTGTCTGTTCTGGCTTTGTATTTGTTTTTCAACAGTGCTGATTACCTATAGCGTGAGGAGCAGGGAAGACATCTTTGAATGGACTAAAATTTGAGAAAAGCAGACTACTTGGGTCTTGAGAAATAAATTAAAAAAAAAGATTACTTTAAAACCACTTAGATTCAGAAAACATCTGAATGAGAGCAGGCATTAAAAAAATGCCAAAATTTCCTTAGTTCTGCTAAGAAAGAAATGGTTCTATTTAACAGGCAGATGATTTAATAAATAAAAATAATTTTGAAAAATGATGAATCCAAAATGGGGAGAATTATTAAAACTATCTACTGTGTTTGCTATTTTAGATTTAAATCAGGATTTTAATTTAAATTAAAATTAACTTTTAATTATTTACTGGTTTACCTATAATTTATTTCTCTCTTTCCACCAAGATTTTTTTAGCTTGTGATGCTTCGTAGGGCTTCTCTTCAAACTTAGTGGCAATTGGATTTGGAGTGGGTGTGGGAGGTGAAGATTTAAATCCATCAAGATATGAATTCTTGTAACTTAGGAGTTTTTGTGACTTTTTAAAAGCCTTGGCTAGACAGAAGCAGTTTGAGCAACTATTTCTTGAAGCAAGAGTCAGAAATCTGTTTTCTCTTTTCTGGTTTGTTTTGGGTTTTGGTTTTGTTTTTTTTTTTCTTCCCCCTGCTGTAGAAATTCCCAGAAACCCTCTTTGGGGGGTCTCCAGAAAGGAGTAACGAAAAGCCTTTGATCATAGTGAATCATTTTTAGAGCAATGTATACATTTTTTTTTTAACAGCAACCACTTTTCTGATAATAACACAGTCTCTTTTAATGACATCTGTCTTCTTTCTCACTATGATCACCAGATTCAGGATGCATTGGTGTTGAGGGAAGGCAGAAGGCTGCAGTTGCCAAGAGCTGTCTGTGGCACATTTTCATATGCAATATGTAAATCTGTGTGATACATATTCTTATTGATTGCCATGTATTTAAGCTGATAGTTCGAGGGAAAACCCACTCTGAAAGTGTGTCTGTGGGTGATAGATTGTGCGTGTTATCTGGCCCTCACAAATCTTGTTTACTTGTAATATATTATTGTACTCATGTTTTGCTGTAGCACCTCAATATTAAATTGTGAGGTATTTTTGAAAAAAAAAGAGCTTGAAGTTTGATGTTGACAATTTAATAGATCCTTTTTTTCTGATATCACAGCTCAGCCCACTTTGTGTTTATATTTTTCCTTATAGGTTCTGTGTCTTTAACCTTGATGTTCTCCCCAAGTCCATTAATTAATTTAAACGTCTCCCAAAACAGACTTAAAAAAGTAAATGTTGCAAGCAAAAGCTGTCTATTTCTATTTACAGAGTATCTATGGAATATTGCTCCATTAAAGCAAACATCATGCAGAATTTAATGCTCATTCTTGCATAACCTTTTCACAAAGATTTACAAATTCCCAGTACTCATAACTAGTAACAGCAAAGGATGCACAGAGCAGCACTTCTCTCTGACAGCTTCAGAAGTCTGAAAATGCTTCAAGTGAGCTAACTTTCTGCTTTTGCTGCTTCCTCCACAAACATTTGTAAAAGATGGTCGCAAAACTCCCGGTGGGTCCAGCTCTTCCGTTGCTGCTGCTGTGCCGTGCCTGAAGTGCTCGGGCAGTAGCCATGCTGCCTAAGGGAACACCAAGGCAGTAGGGCATGTGGAGTCCAGAGACAATGAATGTAGCCCACCTGTGGCCACACTGATGCTAGAGATGCTTCTGTGTGCAAGCTAGCAGTATCCTCAGGTGTTGTTCTCCAGCCTCTCAGTTCAACTCGCTAGAAGAAGGCAGCCCTCCAGAATACCTTACCATTAGGACAACTGCAGCCTAACTCCTCTGACTGCAGGTGTGCTCTCAATGTTGTGTGTTGCACAAAAGTCTTGTAGCTTTACACAACACCACTCGCTCACCCTTCCCCCTCCCACCTACTGGGGATAGGGGAGAGAATTAATGGGGTGAAGGGAAAGGAGACTCATGGGTTGAGGTAAGAACAGCATAATAACTAAACT